CCGCCCCGCCCTGCCCCGCCCCTTGAGACAGAAGTTTCTTTTCCCAATGTACTGGATGGTGCAGACCAAAACCATATCTGAAATACGTTAACCAACACTTTTTAAATGCTGTTTTCCCCAGATTTCCACAAAATGCCAATGCCATACCATATGAATTTGTTTGTGGTTTTGAGGCCTGGGGTTGGCAGAAACTCAGCATTTAAGCTTTACACGATCTAGAAATGAACTGACACCAGAAAGATACCTCCTCTGACTCAGATTTGCCTCATGGTCACTCTGCTGTCTACCTCACACCACGTATTCCCAACACCTCAGTCAGCCCAGGAACTCACTCCAGCATCTGCAGCTTGCAGTTGGGGTGCAGAAGTCCCTCACAGAGGAGTTTGAGCCCCGAGTCTCCGAGAGCATTGTTTCGCAGGTAGAGGTGTGTGAGGTTCCGGCTGGCTTTGAGCACAGAGGTCAGAGCCGAACAACCAATGGAAGTAAGGCCGGAGTTCACCAACCTGTAGGAAGAACAGAGGGAAGCATGCTCAGTGCCCAGGCTCTCTCAGGCACTACTGGCCGCTTGCAGCTGCATCCTCCAACCGAAAGGTCAGAAATCAGCGTCTTGACTGTAATCTGAAGCATGAGTCCACATCTCTGGATCCCACAGGAGAGAGGAACAATGGTCTCAGCATATGCTCTGCTTGGATGAGCACAAGAAAAAGAGAGAAAATCAAACGGGCGGATGCATCCACACTTCCCTGGCAGCGGACGCTCCTCCATACCTCCTCATCTAAAAGAACACCCCACAGTTAGTCCTCTAACTATAACCCTCTGGCACTGCAGAGAGCCATCTGGATCCTGACAGCACCCTGGCAGGAGAGCAATGCAGCTGCAAGTACACACCTCTGTCGCGGGTGGAAGTCAAAGGTCATGAAATTGTCTCCCTGAAAGTCAAAGAGCAGATGTGTGGAGGAAGCAGACTGGGGCTCAGTCGGGATTCTGACTTCTGGTGACTTGTTGTAACTTACAGGGATGTGGCCAGGGACTGTGTGGGCCAGGCAAGTGGGGTGACTTCACCCTCCTCTCCAGCATCCCCTCTCTGTCACACCTTCCCTCCACCTGTCTGGTCCTCCTCAGAGCAGAAAGCCACTGATTTGTACTGATACCAGTGGAATGAGAATTTTTTATTTTTTTTTTTTTTTTTTTTTTGGTTTTTCGAGACAGGGTTTCTCTGCGTAGCTTTGCGCCTTTCCTGGAGCTCACTTGGTAGCCCAGGCTGGCCTCGAACTCACAGAGATCCGCCTGGCTCTGCCTCCCGAGTGCTGGGATTAAAGGCGTGCGCCACCACCGCCCGGCGAGAATTTTTAATTTTTATTACATTTTATGAGAGAGACAGAGAAACAGACATTGAAACAGAGACAGAGAGAACATGCACATCTGTGGAGATCAGAGGACAATTTTGGGGAGTTGGCTCTTTCTTTCCACTCTGTGAGTCCCAGGAATTAAACTCAGGTGGTCAGGCTTGATGGTGGGAGCCTTTACCTCTAGGACCTCACAATAGTCCAAAACTTTTTGATTTACTATTTTTGGGTCAAGTTGAACATTGTCTACAGCCAAGTATTGCTTTAAGTATGTTCCCCCACAGACTCACATGTTTGGATACTGGGTCCCCAGTTGGTGGTGCTGTTTGGACATGTTGTAGAACCTTCTGGAAGTGTGCCCTGGCTGGAGGAAAAGGGTCACTAGAGGGAGGGCCTTGTAACTCTAGCCAGTTCAGGCCCATGCTCTCTGCTTCCAGATCCACCCAGAGATGAACAATCTCCCACTGTCATGGAGTCACCTGAATATAAGCCAAGGATGTGTGCAGCCCTGCCTGGGTTTCATTCCTAATACCACAGAAAAGAGGGCCATGTCATAGCCAGATGTTGGCAACCATTGAGGCTGAGGGATGAGTATGCTTCATGCATGATATAATGTTTAGAAGAATCAAACAACCACATACTGTTAGCTGCCCACTGGCAACATCTCAGTTCCAGCCGACCCCCCTGCAATGCTTTAGATACTGACTGTCAACTTGTCAGATCTAGAATCACCTTCAAGACAAATCTTTGGGCATATCTGTGAGGAATTTTCTAGATTGGGTTAGCTGAGGTGCGAAACCCTACCTTAACTAAACGTGGATGGCACCATTCTATGGGCTGGGGTCCCAGACTGAATGAAAAGGAAAAAGCCAAGTGAGGACCGCATTGTTCTCTCTGCTTCCTGTTTGTGGATACAATGTATCAGCTGCCTCACACTTGCTCACTGGGCGCCCCCTCACACCATGAGCTGCACCTCACACTGTGAACCACGGAGTCCCTCCACTGGGTCCCCCCATGAGCTGCACCTCACACTGTGAACCTCACACTCCCCACTGTGTGACCCCATAAGCTTCCCCTCACACTGTGAACCACAGAGCCCCCCCCCACTGTGTCCCCTCATGAGCTGCACCTCACACTTTGAACCTAAATCAACCCTCCTTTCCTTCTGTGTGTTCTGTCAGGCGTTACGTCATTGTATGTCACAGCAGCAAGAAACGTTACTGATCACCCGAGAGCTTCCTTCTAGGTCCTGAACACACACACATCAAGTTATATATGCAAGCATAGGTTTTATAGAGTGATTTGTATCAGTACAAATGGAGAAACTTGCCTAAAAGTTCTTGACTTAATGAGAGCCTAGATAAACCATGGTGATTGGTACTATGGGGTGCTGTGCTCCAAACTAGGTCTTCATGAAGCCAAATGGAAATTTAAATTTTCATTTAGAGAAATGAAAAGCAAGTTTTAAAAATGTTTCTATTATGTTTCTAGTTTAAATAGCTAACTTCACTGTTGGGTTGAATTCTGTCCTCCTAAAACATCAGATGTTGAAGTTCCAGCTCTTTAAAATGTGACCATAGCCTGGTAGTGGTGGCACACACCTTTAATCCCAGCACTCAGGAGGCAGAGGCAGGCGGATCTCTGTGAGTTCGAGGCCAGCCTGGTCTACAGAGCGAGATCCAGGACAGCCAAGGCTACACAAAGAAACACTGTGTGGTAGTTTAAATGTAATTGGCCCCTATAAGCTCATAGGGAATATCATTATTAGGAGATATGGCTTTGTTGGAGTAGGTATGGCCTTGTTGGAGGATGTGTGTCACTGTGGGGGGGGGGGATGAGCTTTGAGGTCTCGTGTATTTTCAAGTCACGCCCAATATCTCAGACTACTTCCTGTTGCCTGCAGGTCAAGATGTAGGAATCTCAGCTCACTCACAGCACCATATCTTCCTGCAACCACTCACGCTATGATGATAATTTACTAAATCTCTGGAAATGTAAGCCACCTGTTGTGGTTTGAAAGAAAATGGCCCCTAAATGGAATGGCACTACTGTGAGGCGTGGCCTTGTTTGAGTGTGTGTAGCCTTATTGGTGGAAGTGTGTTACTGTGGAGGCGGGCTTTGAGGACTCATATATGCTCAAGCCACGCCCAGTGAGAAAGGCTACTTCCTGTTGCCTGTGAGTCAAGATGGTACTAGAGTCCTTCTCCAACACTACATTTGCCTGCACGCTGCCTTGCTTCCCACCATGAGGACAATGGACTAAACCTCTGAACTATAAGCCAGCCCCAATGAAATGTTTTCCTTTATAAGAGTTTCTATGGTCATGGTGTCTCTTCACAGCAATAGAAACCCTAACTAAGACACACCCCAATTAAATGCTTTTCCTTTATAAGAGTTGCCATGGTCATGGTATTTCTTCATAGCAATAGAAACCCTAACTAGGATGCTCTGTTTTGAAAATAAAAATGTGACCATAGCCAGACATCAAACATCACAGATGCAGTTGGCTAAGATGAGGTCATTAGCTGGGCCCGAATCTAATACGACTGACATCCTCATCAAAATCAGAGCTTCTGACTGGAGAGATGGCTCGGCAGTTAAGAGAGCCTGCTGCTCTTCCAGAGAACCCCAGTTTGTTCCCAGTATCCATGCCAAGCAGATCACCACCCCCCATAATGCCAGTTCCAGGGGATCCAGTGCCTTCCTCTAGTCTCCTTGGCACCACGCTCAGCTGCAGTGGCCTCCCCCGATACACACTCACACACATAATTAAAAATAAATAAATGAAACCGTAGACCCAGAATTTGGGACTCGATGTTATACACAGAGACCCAGGGAGAATCCTGTGTAAAGATGAAGGCCACTTCAAGTGACACATCTACAAGCCAAGGAAGAGCAACAAAAGAATACACCCTCGCTCATGGCCCTCAGAGGAAGCAACCCTGCTAATGCCTTAATCCCTACTTCCAGAATTGAGAAACAATACATTTATGTAAAAGCCATTAGGTTTTGGATACTATGCTATAGCAACCTTAGTAAAGTCATACATATGGGATATTTAGATAGAAAGATGGATAATTAGATAAATATGTTGATGAGTAGTTGCACGGATCAACACGTGGATTGATAAAGTAATTGATGATGTGTGGATATATGTGTGGATGGGTGTTTGTGTATAACACAGGGTCTGGAATTTTGCTTGCCAGGTTTGCAAGTGGTTTTCTCCAGAGACAGAGACGTTCTTCACTTTTAGCTTCACATACCTGGATAATTCATTATGTTAAACTAAGTATGTTGTTTTTGTAGCAAGACTTGTAAGTGGCATCCAGGAGTGAGATCTGTTTGGGAAGACATCTGTCTCTGGGTAGTTATTGGCCCTTATGGGTACATAAGATACCTTAGAGAGTGTAGAAACAAATAGCCAAAAATCAGTGGCAAAAGCTGCGGATCGCAGGAAGAGAAGTCCACACAGAATCTACAGAAGAGGAACCTATCAGATCAACAAGGACGGCAGCAAACACAGGCAAAGAAGCTCAAGAGGAAGTGATGTACGAAGCAATGCTCCAGGCATGAGCCACGCTAAGGGCTGGGACAGACAGACAGGAGTAGGGGCAGGATCCTGAGGGCAACACAGACTACACGCTGTTCCGTGGTCTACTGATGACCCCTTCCCTAGAGTGTTGTGTGTGGAAATGAGATCACTTCTACCATCAGCACCCACAACAGAGCTCGGAGGCCAGATCATATCAGTGGATCAAAATGAGCATCAGAAGCTGCTTCGCTGGGGAGGAGCCATAGCAGCACCTATAGCTTTATAGGAAAGCAGTTTGGTAATGTCTGGGGTTGGGCTAATAGGACAAGCCCAAGGAAGCATCAGAGCTTACAATTAATACTGGTTGTTAATTATGAATAATTGATTATCTCTCAGAAAAAAGTCTACCTTGTTAGTGTTGGGTTTTTTTTTTTTTTGATATTTTGTTTAAGACATGGTTTCATGTAGCCCAGGCTAGTCTCAAACTCATTATGTAACTGAGGATGACCTCAAACTTCTGATCTTCCTGCCTTTCCCTCCCTAGTGCTAGGATTACAGGAGTGCACACAAAACCCGGTTTATTCTGCACTAGGGGTGGAATCCAAGGCATGACACATGCTGAGCAAGAATTCTACCAATTGAACCACATATCCAGACTCACCTTTTACGTTTATCTTTTTTTGTGAGGCAGGATCTCATACATAGCTCTAGCTGTCCTGAAACTCACTATGTGGACCAGGCTGGCTTCAAACTCACAGAAATCCACCTGCCTCTGCCTCCCAAGCACTGGGATTAAAGGCCTGCACCACTATGCTCAGCTTGTTTTATTGTGTCCTAAATGTTTATCTAGCTGTCATTTCTATCAATAATGTGAATAAAGACATATTTGGTTTGTTTTATTTATAGATATTGACAGAATGGACATTTAGTCTTTCCTAGCTGACAGGCTGCAGTTAGAATCAAATGCTAAAGCCCTGCAGGGGACACAATTGCAAAATATAACCAGGCTGAGGGCATCCTGCTCACAGAGGTGTGAGCTGGGAAATCACACCAGGGTGTCTACTTCCTAGCCAGCATCCACAGGCAAAGATCTGAAGCTCCTGGGCCTCTCTATAGGCAGGCATTGATGACTGGTGCTGATGCTGAGCTACATCACAGCTGAGGATTTAGAGACATCATGCCACATAAGTATGATGTTGTCTTTGGGGACCAGAGACTGGGGCTGCTACTCTAAGCCCTGTAGAGAAAGGCAATCACCAGAGCTCAGAACCTAAGATGCTGTGGCAGGGGGATGAGAACTCAGTGCAGAGGATATGCTTTGCAGAAGTAATATGCATCTTGAAAGTGTTCACACATTAGATGATTATTGCTCTTGTGCATGTCTTAGAAGCAAGTTTTGTGCTCAATGGGAGAAATAGGGCTGAACAACCCCTAAGAAGCTCCAATTATACTGCTATAAGCCAGTTGGACTTACCTGACCAGCAGTAATACGACCGTCCCCCAGTGTCCTTGAGTAACTGGCTCCAAGACACCCCACAGGTGCCAAAATCTGCAGATGTTCATGTCCCTCATGTAAAATGGCAGAGTATTTGCATATCACCTCTGTACATCCTCTCATCAACTGTAAATTATCTCTAGGTTACTTACGGTACTTCTCATGGCATATATATATTACACTATATGTAGTAATTATGCTGTATTGTTCAGAGAATGATGACAAAGCAGAAGGTTCATATATGTTAAATACAGACATAATTTTTCCTAATATTTTTAACCCACAGCTGGCTAAGCCCATGGCTACTTGAATCTTCAGAGCAGAATCCCAACTGTGTGCTACATGAATCTGACGCTTCAAACCACTTCCGATGCTGATGCTGCAATTCCCACCTTCATCTCTAGCTGATGGGCCTTTTCTAGAATGTCCCCATCCATGTTTCCCAAATAAACTGTCTCTGAAAAGAATCAGATTTTCCACAGAGAGACAAAGACTTACTTACCCCAGCTTCTGCAAGTTACACTGTGGGTGCTTGATTTTTTCACACAAAACTTGAACTCCTAAATCTCCCAAGGCATTTTCTCCGATGTACAGTCTGGTCAGAGAACGGTTGGAGCTCAGAGCCAATGCGAGATCCCGACAACACGCAGATGTGAGACAGCAGCTGACCAACCTTCCATGCAGAGGGGACAAGGTCAATACCATCTCTCATGTACTCTGCACCGCGTGCTAGGAGACTATGCCGCTGCTGCTCCCCTCGGCTGAAGTCTACACCTCAGCTCCTCATACCCTCATCCCCTTCCTGTCTGGTGAAATAACAGGTAATAAGCCACTCCTGCACTAGAACGTCCTCCCTACTCCCTTCACTTGGTTCTATTGAAATAACACGTACACATGGGGACCGGGGAGATGGCGTGGTAAGTAAAGGCACTTGCTACCAAGCCTGACAACCCGAGTTTAATCCCAGAACCCACAGTACGAGAGAGCTGACTCCAAAAAGCTGTCCTCTGACCTTCACACAAGCTCCACGGCATGCCCACTGAGGCCTGGAAGCAGAGGCCTGCAGTCCCGGCTCCTCAGGAGGCTGAGGCGAGAGAGTCTCAAGATAAAGGGCACCCGGGCAACTTAGCAAGATCCTGCCCCAAGATGAAAAGGGAAGGGGCTGGGGCAGAATGCTTGCCCAGCATGTAAGAGAACCTAGGTCCAGCTCCCAGCACCAAAAAGAGAAAGAAAACCCAGCACGACTCAGGGCCCTTTAGAGCGGTCATCACCACTATCCGAAACTGACTCTCTACCCATTAAAAACAAAACAAACAAACAAACAAACAACCTCCCCACTTATTCCTCACTGGTGCCTGGAAGCTACTACCTATGTCTTCTGTTACAAATTCAAGTGTCCATGGTACTAACATACGTGTAACTATAGTGTTTGCCCTTTGGTGACAGGTGTATCTCAGTAGGACACCTTCAAGGCTTGTCTAGTTTTCAGCAAGTATCCGAATTTGTTCAAAGCTGTGTCTGTGCAAATACCACTTTCTGTCCTGTGTCCACGAAAGGACACAAAGACGTTTCTAGCTTTTGGCTGCTGTTACTGACATGCTGTGGATCTGATGTGTGCAAACGTGGTTGCACAGCCAGCGGGCACACCGTGGTTGCACAGCCAGCGGACACACCCAGAGACACGTGGGTCCAACACAGTCCGATACTCAGCTGTGTGAGGGTCACCATGCTGCCTGCCATGTTTTACATTCTTGCTTCCCTGTTTCACACCCATGCTTGCTGCTGTTTTACATTCCCGCTATGTCAGTGGCTCTCGACCTTCCTAACGCTGTGACCCTTTAACACAGTGCCTCATGTTGTGGGGACCCCCAACCGTAACATTATTTTCATTGCTACTTCATAACTGTAATTTTGCTACTGTTAAAAATCATAATATAAATATCTGTGGTTTCTGATGCTCTTAAGTGACCCCCCTGAAAGGGTCATTCAATCCCCAAAAGGGCCACAACCCACAGGTTAAGAACCATCGCACTGGATGCCAAAAAGTACCAGTTCCCTGAGTCCTTACCGACACCAGTCTAGCTTCTTATTTGTTTGTTGTGGGTTTGTTGTCTATAATAATCACGGAGATGAAGCTGAGTGCAGTAACACACACCTTTAATCCCAGCACTTGGGAGGCAGAGGCAGGCAGATCTCTGTGAGTTTAAGGCCAGCCTGGGATACAGAGTGAATTCCAGGACAGACAGAACTACGTGAGACCCTGTCTTGGAAAGAAAGAAAGAAAGAAAGAAAGAAAGAAAGAAAGAAAGAAAGAAAGAAAGAAAGAAAGAAAGAAGGAAGGAAGGAAGGAAGGAAGGAAGGAAGGAAGGAAGGAAGGAAGGAAGGAAGGAAGGAAGGAAAAAGAAAGAAAGAAAAAAGAAAGAAAGAGAGAAGAAAGTCATGGTGACGGGTGATGAAACAGGAGCTGGCACCACCTGATCAGGTGGGTTTGTTGTTGTTTCTTTGTTTGTTCGTTTTGTTTTGAGACACAGTCTCATGGAGCCCAGGCTGGCCCGAGGTTTTGATCTTTCTGCCACCACATCTGGTTCAGTGGTTTCATTCGGTGCTGGGGATCAAACTTGGGGCCTCATGTCTGCTAGGCAAGCACTGTACCCAGGGAGCTGCATCTTCAGCCCTCAAGCGCTTTCTCATCTCTTTAGAATTCGAGTCCCCCAGAAGCATCCAGGAAGGACGGCACAGAACAAATGAAGTGCCTCGGTTGCTGTACCCCCACTTTTTCCCTGTTTAGTGAGAGGCCTGAGGGAGTGTTGTGAACTCTCAAAGCTCTTCTACCAAGATACCTTGCAGTGCTTTATTTTCTCAGATACCTTAAAGACAGACATAGTTTATTTGCTTATCTGCACACACGTGCACACCACTGTTATATTTTCACAGGAAGCTTTCCCCACAGCAGTCGCTGGTTGGTTAAACGACTGGGAAAACCGGCAGAAGGAAACACGGGAAGTCCTCCTGGCCACTGAGAACATTCCAGTCCTCACCCATGTGCGGATAGCTAGTGGAGTCTCCCTGAAGCGGAGTTCCTGAAAGGGACCTCAGGGCAGAGCTTCCTGAGGGGTGGGCCAGACTCACCAGAGTTCCTGCAGGTCGCAGAATGGGTGCTTCAGTCCCGCACACAGAAGTCTGACTCCAAAGTCCCCCAGGGCGTTGTCGCTCAGATCCAGCTCCACCAGCTTCTGGCTGCTGCTCAGGACAGAGGAGATGTCGAAACAGCATTGATGGGTAAGTCCACAGCGGCCCAACCTTCAAATGAAGTATAGAATCAGACATCAGAGTGTGGCCCCTTCAGAATCTGGATCCTACATGTGTCCCAGATCCACATGTTCAAACTATGGAGCGTTGGTGGAACCTCTGGGAGGTAGAGTCTGGAAGAAGACTTGTGGGACCAGTGTGGACACTGAAGGGGGGTGACCTTAAAGGAATACTGTTCTCTCTCTCTCTCTCTCTCTCTCTCTCTCTCTCTCTCTCTCTCTCTCTCATCATCTGTCTCTGTTTTTTCCATCTCTATCTCTTCCTCCTCTCCTTAGCCATTGACTCCTCTACTATATAATACTACCATGATATTCTGTCTTGTGGTGGGCTCAAACAACAGACTCAACTGACCATGGACTAAAACTCTGAGCCAAAGCAATCTTCCCTCCTTTGAGTTGACATTTCAGGTGTTCATCAAATGGAGGGAGAGCTGACTCACAGACTCCTTCACAGCTATTGTCTTCCAGTCTGGACTTGGTTTCTGCACCAGGCAGGAAGGAGCAGGGGTGTCCCGGAGTAAACCAAGAGTTCCTGAGCAATGCCCAGGACATGTAAGAAGTGGGCCACTGCTCACCTGGTCATAGCCCAAAGCTATGGTGTAGGGACCCTTGTGGTGAGTGCCCCAAGCACGTGTTCATCCACTTTCAGGTGCACAAAGGATGCCACCAGGTTTGTAAATGCAAAGGGTGGTGAGCCTAGAGCTCCTGTCCCCAGGAATTTCTAACACCTGAAGCACCCTCACTAGGCGGGCGTCACTAGGGTCCTCATCTACATGACAGAAAGTCTTTACAAGCATCATGCCCTCGCCGATTTTGCTGGACAATCTAATCGTGGTGTTCTCTCTACACTGAAGAGAAATTCGGGAAGCAGAGCCGACAGGTGTTCTCATGAAGTTCCTATTCCACTGGGGCAGGGATAGCAACGCCACAACCAGGAAGACAAGATGGGAGGGATGGGCAAAGAACAGTCGGAGTCTCTCTACGCCGGGCTGCTCATTAGTGTTTTCCCAGTCTAGGTAGCATTGACTCAGTTTCCTTCCTAGTGAACAGATCTCCACAAAGAAGAGCTGTGGGGAATGTCAGCAAAGCTGAGGCAAAGCCCAGGACCAGTGCCTGTGTAAGCATCCGGTCTCTGTCAGTGCCCCACACAGCTTAGATCGGCCACTGACTACAACTGTGATTCATTCCGTGCACTGTTGTCTGATGGTGGTCTGTCCCCAGGAGGCCACGTGTGTCCCTAGGAGGCCTCGTGTCAGAAGCTTGTTCTTCAGTGTGGTGATGTGAGATGTGCTGAAACCTTTAAGAGGTGAGAGCCTGGGGCCTATGCTGGGACACTTTGCTCAGCCTGGGTGAAGGGAGGGGGGGGGCTGGACCCGCCTGGACTGAATCTACCAGGCTGAGCTGAATCCCCAGGGGAGACCTTGCCCTGGAGGAGATGGGAATAGGGAGTGGATTGGGGGGAGAGGGGAGGGGGAGGGAGGAAGGAGGACAGGGGAATCCATGGCTGATATGTAAAATTAAATTAATTATAAAATTTTTAAAAAAAGAGGTGAGAGTAAACACAAAAGAATGACGTCACCACCAGCACTGTCTCAAAAGGAATTAAAGGAGTTTTCTTCGGAATTCAGTTAGTTTCCCATGTTAGGGCCAGGTGAAGTGACTTTGTGGGTAAATGTTCTTGCCACCCAAACCTAGTGGCCTGAGTTCTATCCCAAGAATCAATTTCCAAAGTTACCCTTTGACTCCACATGCATATTGTGACATGTGTAGGCTCAAAATCACACACACACAGACTCACACACAGACTCACTCACACACACACAGATAATATACACAACACACACACGCAATTTTTTAGAGAAAATAAAAAAATAGAAATTTTCTTTTTTATTTGTATTCTTTTTAATTTAAATGTTTTCTTATTCCATATATTTAGAGGTAATTACTTAAATAAAATAGAGCACAGAATGGAGTATGTGAAATTCACATCCCTACAACACTTTGGTGTGTTCTGATACTGTCATCCATTAGCATCCATAATAAAATTTCCCAATTCTCACTCAGAAGCCCGGTCCATGAGAGGATGGAAGACAGAGCTTCTGTTTTGCCACCTAGAAACAGTTCTTTTCAGTTCTTCTTCATCTTCCCCACCTAAAGCTTCCCAAACTTCCCCCAGTCCACTCAGGCTGCCCATTTATAATGTGTTCCTCCAAAGCTTCATGTGTCACAGTTCCACCCCAGAAGCCCACAGGGTGGGACCATATTTGGAAATAGGCAACTTCAAATAGGCAGTTAAGCTGCATCCACAGTGTTGAGCCTAGTCCACGTGGACCGGTATCAGACACAAG